ACATTTAGCGACACACTGGAGCTCTTTCAAGCTGGGCACCGTTTCATTCACAACACCTGTCCCATCAACCAGGAATCAGAAATACTTTAATAATCCCAAGGAGAAATTACTTTAGTTACATTACTCCATCTGTAATAGAGTGACTATAGGACCAGTTTGATAGAACACTATTTAATTCAATATATATAATTAGGGGGTCCCCGCTCCATCTCTCCATCACTTTGGGGCCCTTGGCCTGGAAAATGTTGAAGACCTCTGGTATAGAGGACAATGTTTTATTTCCAGGTGGATCATCTAAATCGGTGGTGGTCATAATAGTCAATCATTCTAGTGATATGTTTACTTAAGGCCGTCCTATGTGCTCGTCCCATTAGCTATCTTTTTCTGCGTAATTTCAGGCGTATATCTGTGGTGAGCTACGGTGTCAGATAGTCATTTAAGCTCAACTTTCTCACCAGGGTTCTTTGAAAATGGCAAAAGGGTCGTAAGACAAAAACTGTCTACAAAGTGTATGAAAAGAAGAGAAAGGCCTCAGAGAGGCAGATATATCCCAGAATGCTTTGCAAGTAAAGCTCTCCTTGCAAAGCATTGTGGGATTTGCTCTCACAGAGGCCCGCAGTCGCTACCCGACAGGAGCAACTAATAACAAAGATGGTGCAGGCACTGCACAGTGGTGGAGGAGTTACGTGACATCTGTCTGAACGGTCAGTTTACTAAGTTTGCTATATAGTCCACTATATAGTCCCTGCTCTATATAGGGGTAGGAGCTGACGCGTTGGCACAGTAAGCTTATATTAGCTATGAGAACAGCAACTTTTAAACAGAGCGTGCACAAGGAGAAACGGCTTGGTCATGCACTCACAAGCGTATAATAGACATTCCCTCTCAGAAGTGGGTGCAGGGTTGTGAATGTGCTTTTTTTTTTTTTGTGGAGAGGGGCGGGTCTTTAAAAATATGTGCGAAAATCCTCTATAATACTTTTACGACAAGCCTGGACATGTGCTGGTTTAAGCAGAGGAACCTTCCGTGCCATGCATGATTTAAAACCATGATGTCTCAGTGTGTTACCAACAGTAACCTTGGAAATAGTGGTTTCTGCTCTTTTCAGGTCTCTTTTCTAGCTCTGGGCTAATTTATCACCTTTCTTAGGATCATTAAGACCCCACCAGGTGAGATTGTGCATGAAGCCCCAGTCTGAGGGAGACTGACAGTCATGTTTAGCTTCTTCCATTTTCTAATGAAGCTCCAACAGTGGAGTTTTTCCAACAAGCTGCTTGGCAATTTCTCTGTAGCCCCTTCTAGTCTTGTGGAGGTTTACAATTTAGTCTCTAGTGTCTTTGGACAGCTCTTTGGTCAAGCCCATGTTAGTAGTTAGATTCTTCCTGATTATATGGGGTGGGCAGGTGTCTTTATGCAGCTTTAATAAATTAACCTCCATGACTTCTAAGTGGGAGAACTTGAGAAAATAGCAGGGTATTCAAATACTTATTTTCCTCACTGTATGGCAAAAGTAGTTTTAAGCAGATGACCTCCTCCTTTTTTTGGTTCTTCAAAACAGGTAATCCACTGGAACTCCCCCAAGAAGCTGCGGGTCAAGAACAAGCATGTTGAATTCTTTCGGAATCTGTACCTAACTTTCCTGGAGTATGATGGCAACCTGCTGCGACGAGAGCTGTTTGGCTGTCCGAGTGAGGCTGACCCCAACAGTGAAAATGTGGGTAGAAACACTTCTGAAATCCCAGCTAATGCATCAGTTTATTTGCATCAGACAATTATTGAAGNTGGCTTGTGAGGAATATGCAAAAATCTGTCAATTGCAACGGGAAACGGTTTTTGGAGTCACAAAATGCATATAAAGCATGGACGGCAGAATTAAACATTTAAAGGAAAAGTCCGGTCAGCAAGGAATAATCAATGGATCGTTATTTATACCTAAAACTAATACGTTTGCAGTGATTTAATGAATTTAGAGTTAATCAGTAAAAAAATAAAGAATTTGAACCACCGAGTCTGGGGGCGGCCATTTTTGCCCAAATATGTTAACACCGCCCTCCTGCCATCTTACAGCAGTGACGTCACGGTGCGGTAAGCATAGCGCCATTCTCCGTTCAAACAAAACATGTTCCATGCTTCACAGGATTCTGCTATTGCTCTCACTCTGATTCCTGCATCTGTTCTTTGATTGATTGACTGTGGTGTAGACTAGAGACTGACACGGGAGTGGATTTTCACTCCTGTCCCGTCCCACTCCCACAGAAAAAAATTGTGTCCCGTCCGGGCCAGAGTAGACATCTAAATCCTGTCCCGTCCCACTCCTGGTGAAATTACTCCCGCTCCCATTCAGAATGACTCCCTCTCCTGCACCACTCCCATTCTTGTTGTCTTCAATAAGATTTCTGCCAATACATTGAATCTGAATTTCTTTTGAGCGCAAGGGAAAAACTCAGAGCGGAAGCACTGTTGGTTTTTGGGTCGTGTAGTTTTTTTTTACTCTCATTATAGTGTAGGCTTCAAGGAAAAAAAACGATAAAATGGCGGCGCCAGTACTGGATTTTTTTTCTTTCTATTTTATTTTATTTTTTGGCATCGATCCTAGTTTTTTTTAGTTACAATTGGTTTGCTCCTGCTCCCGTCTGCTCCCGTTAATGTTTAATCCTGTATCGTCCCAATCACGTGATCGTTACTAATACTGACTCCCATCCCACGGGAATCCCGTGACCCGTGGGATTCCCGAAAAAATTTCAGTCTCTAGTGTAGACTGAAAATTGTGACTATAAAAAGGTAGGTCTTAGATAGCTCATTATTCACATGGATGGTCATACGTTTTTTTTTTTTACCAATGTGAAACACCCACATCCCAAACAAAAATTATTAACTAATTAAATGAATCACTAACCACAAATATAACTACAGAATCTAAGTTCTAAGATTTAACAGAAAATTGAAAAATGGCTCCTATAGTAATAATTTAAGTACTTTCAGAAGTTCAAATTATGAATATGACCGGACTTTTCCTTTAAAGACGTAAGGAAGTCATATTTAAATGTTAAATCATTCTGGTTTAAACATGTACTGTATATAAATGTACTCTTTATCAGACCATAATGTCCCAAAAGTTAGAAAATTTCAATTTGAAAAAATATAAAATCCTGCCTTAAAATGTTTTTTAGTTATCTTATGCAGGCCAGTTAGTTATACGTCAGCCTGAACACCTGAAAACGGTCATCTGTCAATCAAATTTTTTCTTTCATAGCATCTTGATTCATATGTTGTAGCTAATATGTAACGGTTGTAATAAGAAATCAGAATCCTTTCCTTTCCCATTGAGTTCCGTCCCAGTGTTCATTGGGATGGACGTCTGTGTCTTCAGCAGGCGTAGAGCTAACAGAACTGGCAGCGTTGCGAGGCAAGGGCT